AGCAACGTGTACGCGCCGCAATACAGATCGATTGGGCTTAATCGACATATAAACAAGCGTCCGCCGCTCGAGTCGTAATGCGAGCACGACTTACGGTAATCGAAAATGTGTTAAGGCTCTCTTTCGCGGGGCCGACCTTCGATCGAATGAAGAAGTCGCGATTCGCGTGGATCTTCGATAGGAGCAAAGGTCTCCTCTACACTGCTCCTTTTATAGCAATATTTTTACGCTTTCGGCTGCTGTAATCGACAAAACACGTCACCCGTATCGTTTGAATAAAATCTTTATCGAGACACAACAAGGATTATCCTTCGTTATCGTTTTTTCTTTCTACCTTTTTTTTATATAAAAATTATGAAATTTTAATTTTCTTTTTGCTACTCGCAAAATACTTAAATGTTTTAATATATCTTTTTGAGAATTTTAGCAAGAATTATGAGATACAAAAAAAAATTAATTTCTAAAATCGACTTTTTTGTTATTTGTCAAATGATTGAGATTTGATTTGACTGTTACCTGAAATACCGCTTTCTCGGAATATCAGATCATTCCCATATCATTCTGTATATTTTACCGTGCTGCCACTTATGAAGGCTAGTCCCTCATTCACCATGTCTCTAAAATGTCCGCGAAGGACTGAATTACAATATTTACGTTCAACATATGGTCGCCATTATTTGTGCTTAAATTTTTATCTGATTCACGGACGCTAAAAATAGTCGTGTGACTTATAAAATTTGCAAAGGCAGTTACAAGTACTCCGCGAGGCCAGAATGTCAGACGAGCAAGAGTGGAAAATGAATATTATCAGCTGAAGATTATATCTACACATCTTCTTTTTTTCCTACTCGTCGTCCTTCCATCCGAACTTCGGCGTGATCCGGAAAAAAACATTTCAGCTCCCTGCATCGTTTTCGACTTATTAATAACGATGCGCTTCGCGCGCAACGGTTCGGATTATATTCTTCAAGTATCCCGGCGAAACGAGCGAGAACAAAGAAGCCACTGTACGACAGAGGCTCTCAAACAATCTCGTGTTCTTTCTTCCTCCCTTTTCCCTCTCTTACTCTTTAATAAGTTATAAAAAAAAAAACCTCTTGAGCTCAATGCATATTTTTATGAAAAAGAGAGTCGTTCTATTATTTAAAAAAAAAAAAAAAAAAATTGCTAAATTTTTTTCGTTAATACACATTTACAATATGATACTGAATTTTCTCTTTCTTTCTCTCTCCCTCGTCTTCTCTTATTCCTTAATATATAAAAGTCTTCTTGAGCTCTTCCAATCCATGTCTTTATGAAAAAGAGAATGTCGTTCTAGTATTTAATGCAAAATTTACATTAACATTTCTTCATTAATACACATTTATAATACGATATTGAAATTTCTCAGTCGCGACATATTTATAACTTTATCTAAAAAAGTTATGACTTTGAATTATAAAAGATATTATTTTAACAATCGCTCGACGGAAAGATATCTGTCATATTCCAGGATCAGTCGTCGGAATAACGGAATTAATTAACAAAGCAATATGGAAATATTCTTTTCGAATGATAAAGGCAAGAATTTTAACAAGTTTCGCGTGAGCTGTTGACTTCTTCGCGAATTAATTCGACTACAAATATGAAATTCGTGATACTACGATATGGTAAGGACGTCACGAATAGGATATTGAGGTTGCACTTCCGGCGACGGAAGTGAGCATCAGCGAAGTTTTATCGAAGTTCCGAAAGGATGACGCGATTGCGGCGAACATGGTGACTCAATTACGTGAAATTTCGATGCTTTTAATACCGATAGTTTGTATTCTCATCGCGCGCCGGACATCTGGCTCTAAATTCTTCGTGAATATTTCACGATTCCATATCATAATAGACTCGACAATCTGTATCTGATAATTTGAAGCGTTAGACGCTTCGTAAAATTTTCCAAGCAGAAAACAATTTTGTAATTTAAATAAAATTAAAGTTTATATTAAAATAAAAACGATCTCATTTGTCAAATTTAATATGCGTTTAAAAATAATTATTGGATATTTAAAAACATATATACATATGATAACGATCTGAATTCTTGTTTCTTTCGCATCGGTTTAGGAAATAAGCATGTTTACGTGATGCCTCGACTAGGAAAAAAATAGAAAAAAAAAATGCGCCAAGTAATTGGCTAAACATGTTCAGGGTCGAATATTGTAATCGCATACCATGATCACTCGAGTAACAAATGGCTGTTATAGTTAAATCTATCTAGTGGCGTGCCAATTGTAACAGTCTCTCTTGTTGTGCTGCATTTCGATATATTGTCACTTTGGTCATTAACCTTGGCAACGTGCATAGATAGTTGTGAGTAGACATCTATCGCGTAAACATAATTGCGTGAGGTAATCGAAGCCTTTCGACCGTAACGGCGTTATTACACACACACACACGCGCGAGTAACAGTCATTTTAAACTGATTAAAAAATGCAGGAAGACGATACACGGAACGCGATAGTATTTATTAAGGGAATTAAGAAAAGTATTATACGATTCCAGTTTCACCCGCTTCAAATTATAGCAATCGGCATCCGTCGTCTCGTCTTGCCATCTCGTAATTATAACGTTCTAGTGGCGGGTTACGTAACGTGTCGGATACACTTTCTTTCCCGTCTCTTTATAAATATCAAAAACCCAAAATGCGGGATTCCAACCGGATAATACGCTTTATGCCATCTCGAAATGTCTATTACGGAGGAATCCACCCACGTTTCTCAATTGAGCTACATGTGTATTTCCAGGAATAAAAAGATCATTCGGGCAACTCGCGGAAGGAACATTTGCATTTACGGAAGCGAGATTTCTTCGCGGTGCATCGAAAGGTTAAATGGCTCGTATAAATCGTGATGATTCAATTGGTCGGGCGCGCGTATCTTTCACGAGCGAGCGAGCCTGCGTGAAAAATACAATGGATTCGCGGGTTGCCGCCGCCATCGACGGATGAGGACGAGGAGGACGAGGACGACGAGTGCTAATGGACGTTGACTTACCGCGTTGGACTTGGGTTTCGACGCGGCCACATAGGCCAAATATTGAATCACTTTCTTCGTGTTTTCGGTCTTGCCGGCGCCGGACTCGCCGGTGCACAAAATCGACTGGTCCTCGCGATCTGCGATAGATATAAAATACCGATAATTAAATAGAACGCTATTAAATAATGATAAGATATTAAATTTTTTTAAAACACTAGTCTTTTAAGAGTATTTTAAGTATAAATAAATATGCGTGCAAGAACAAATTAAGAATAATAATTATGTATGACAAAAAATTTTGGAAACTATTTCAAAAAATTACGCGAAAATAATTTTTAATCGTAATTTTTCTTCGTGGAACAAGATTGAAATAATTAAGAATTTAACGTTTTATAAATAAATTAAGATATTTTTATCGTTATAATTTAGATTTAAATAAAGAGTAACAGTTACCTATTTTAAAATTCTTTTATCGAATGGTAGGTCTTAATGTTTCGACTAATAACACTAATTCGATGCGGTAAGTAGCTGATAAAAATTTCTAATTATATCATTACCTTGCAGCATGGAACGATAAGCCGTATCGGTGATGGCAAATACGTGTGGCGGTACTTCATGTCTTTTGATGCCTTTGTACCTTTCCATAATCTTCTCTGTGTATATTGGCAGTCTCTTGTAGGGGTTTACTACGACGCAAAAGAGGCCTGAGTATGTCTGTAAAAAAAAAAAAGAAGTTTCAATTATTACATTCTAATTATTAAGTCAAATTCGATATTTATAAAATCTACGAAATGATATGGTTCGATCAGTTTCTTAAATATTTCCATCGACAAATGAAAGCAAGATCGTTATCATATTCGTTGATTGCTGATCTAATAGCTTCGGCGGTATCTTGATTTATATCTCTGAAACATTCCCTTCGCTGAATGAAAGCAAGAATGATTATTAATTTTTTTATTTATTATCGATTAATTATCGAATCCACTGATTCATTCATATCTTCCGAAGCTGAAGGAAAGCAGCGAGCGGGGCGTTTCGCTCTCGGGCCTAATTCACGTGACCTAATTGTTTCGGCGGAGCATTGTTTCCACTGACATCGACACGGACATTCCAGGAATTCTGTCGCGATAGCGCGAGAAGGAGTTGGAACGGCACGTAAAGCTCGCTGGAATGTCCGATCGATGACGTCACGTTTACCATGCGATGCCGGTTCGCGAGCGAGGTGGAGAGAGAGCGAAGCAGCAGAAAGAGGTCGGGGTATACACTTCTGGTTTGCCGCTCTCCGACGTCTTCTACCTCCCGACGTGCTCTCCCTTTCTCGTTCTTCGGTCGCCCGTTTCCTCGCACGTTGGCACGTTGGTTTTCTCCGCCGCGCCGATACACGCGTGTGCATGCGGGCGAGCAGAAACCAGCACGTTTCTGCACGACCGATGGTCCTGAAACCGAGAGCCTTGACTCTCGCTCCTATTCGCGACGGAACGGAGCCGTTTCAAAGAGTCGCGCCAGGCCGAGCCGAGCTGGAGCCGAGTCGAAAGGCTCACTCCCGACTCCCGATCCAGAGATAAATCGCAGAAATTTTTCAGATTTTTCAGAAAGTAACATCCAGCCGTCACCACATTCTGAGTGGTGAGTGAATGAGCGAAGGTTGTCCGCATGCTTGATTTTTCCGAGTCTCTCTTGATTTTAAGATTTAATCTGATGAATATAATCATGCGTACGCATTCTGCGAACGTATGACGTAATCATATTCTTTATTCAGAGAAATTATTTATCTTGAACTCTAGGGATTTAAAAGGAATGGAGGAATTTCTAGCTGACAGACGTTATTTAAATTATTTCTCTGAATATTCAATTATATCGTTTATTAATTTCTCCTTATTTTCCGCAGTTTTTAAAAGAAAAATGCTGATGACATTATTTTTAATTTCAACTAAAATATAAAATGTATTAGATATTCAATAAGATTCTTGAAGCATTACGTAGAACGATGTCGTATTATGGACTTCTCTCGTCGACTTTAAGATAATTTATTTATAAAATGTGAATTATCATTTCGAGATTATCTCTCGTGATTGTGATGATAACATAAAATTTTATCCACCGGAAGCATATCACCCGACGAAAAAGTACACTTAGTTTGATTTATCGGCATCGATCAAAATCACTATATTTAGTTTTGCCGTTTGACGAGGCAGAATAAATTTAAATGACGTGTAAAATGATTCACGCCTCATTGCGATTTGTGTAGGCTTAGTAATTTACGATATAGTTCGGACGAATCGAAAGTATTTATCATAAGAAGAGAAGGAGCATCTCACCACCACCACCACCACCACCACCACCACCACCACCACCACCACCACCACCACAAGGATCCTCGCTAACAAGCGAATAAATCATATCTTGCGTATACAACGAGACAGACAAACTCTCTAACGAAGGGACTTAATCTTTCGAGCGCGATATCGACACGGAGCAAAGTTATTTAACCTTTTATCAGCGCGAGCAAGTGCACGCGAATCGTATTGTTTGGAGTGTTGTCTCGTAGTAAGTCGCAAAATAACGTTTACACGTTTCCTCCGCGTACTCTGTCCCATATTGTCTTCCCTAATCGCGACGTTTACGTGTTTCTCTTATCTCATTGCTTTACGACTCTGCCCATACGAAAGGATACGATATTGCTGTATCGTTTTACAGATACAATGTGATCTCCTTGATAAAATGAAAAGGTAAATGTTTATTCAAAAAGAAAAATTCCTTAAAAATTCCCTGATTTTCAACAAAGCAACTTGTTAAAAATTCCAGGTAAAATGAACATTTTATGTTTTAAATTCCCCTTATAAATAAATATATATTTATTGTGTAAAATATTTCATATTTTTCATTCGTAAAAATTTATAAATCGTAAAATAAAATTAAGAATCATTTAAATTTCAATAATAATTAAATAGACAGTTTA